TCATCTTATCCTAACAAGTTTGCTGTCATTGGATAGAACCTCTGAATCTTCATCTTATCCTAACAACTTTGCTGTCATTGGATAGAACCTCTGAATCTTCATCTTACCCTAACAACCTTGTTGTCATTGGATAGAACCTCTTACCCTAACAACTTTGTTGTCATTGGATAGAACCTCTGAATCTTCATCTTATCCTAACAACTTTGTTGTCATTGGATAGAACCTCTGAATCTTCATCTTATCTTAACAACTTTGTTGTCATTGGATAGAACCTCTGAATCTTCATCTTATCCTAACAACTTTGTTGTCATTGGATAGAACCTCTGAATCTTCATCTTATCCTAACAAGTTTGCTGTCATTGGATAGAACCTCTGAATCTTCATCTTATCCTAACAAGTTTGCTGTCATTGGATAGAACCTCTGAATCTTCATCTTATCCTAACAACTTTGTTGTCATTGGATAGAACCTCTGAATAATTTTCATCTAATGCTTTAATTTTAAAAAAGTGATTGAAGTGACATGTTGTTATTGTATTTTCTGGACGTTGGATCAATGATTGAAGTGACATGTTATCATTGTATTTTATGGACATTGGATCAGTGATTGAAGTGACATGTTATTATTGTATTTTCTGGACGTTGGATCAGTGATTGAAGTGACATGGACATTGGATCAGTGATTGAAGTGACATGTTATTATTGTATTTTCTGGACGTTGGATCAGTGATTGAAGTGACATGGACATTGGATCAATGATTGAAGTGACATGTTATTGTATTTTCTGGGCATTGGATCAATGATTGAAGTGACATGTTATCATTGTATTTTCTGGACATTGGATCAATGATTGGAGTGACATGTTATCATTGTATTTTCTGGACATTGGATCAATGATTGAAGTGACATGTTATCATTGTATTTTCTGAACATTGAATCAGTGATTGAAGTGACATGTTATCATTGTATTTTATTGACATGTTATCATTGTATTTTATTGACATTGGATCACTGATTGAAGTGACATGTTATTATTGTATTTTCTGGGCATTTTATCAGTGAATGACGTGACATGTTATTATTAACAAATTAAAAAATGTTCTATATTTCAGATTTTACATGAAATGTGTGATTCTCTTCATTGTGACATTTTAATGGTCTTCATTTTCTCTACTTAAGTCTTAAGGTTTTTGCTAAAACACATTGAAAATCGTCTTCATGTAGATTTAACAGATTGAGCTTAGAATATTTAAATTGTAAGATACATTGATTAGTTATATTTTTTTTGTGAAAGGCAAGTCAACAGTTTTTTGTGTGTTAATTAATTTTTGATATGAAAACTCAGTTTGATTTTTCAATAATCTTTCATTTGAATATTTAACGTTGAATAAAATATAAACAACTATATCCTAGTAAACTAACTGAGGTTGGTTTCTGTGCTTTTCTTCTAGCCGTACGTTGAGACAGGTTTCCAGCTATTAGCAGTAGGGTTTGGGGTGACGCTACACTACTTTCTACCCCAGCTCAGGAAACAAATGCCTTGGTTGTGTTGCACTCGCCCTATCCTAAGGGCGTATGAATACCACCAATTTGAAATTCAAGGTACCTTTTGTATTTTATGTTTTTAATTGAATGGCAATTTTACGTGTAGTATAGTTCATAGCTTTTGGGGGGGAGGGGAGGATTTGTGGGAAGACTTTCATCAATAGTAGATTTAACTATGACAGTGTTTCTGTGTTTCATAACAGCTCTGTGTAAATAATTTTGAAGTTTTTTTTCCTTGACTTGCCAAGATTACGTACACCATGTTTGAGGACAAACTGATATCCATGTATTTGCACACACACACAAAATCAAATCTGTTGTGCATAAGTGATATGAAATTGTTTCTTTACATAATTTGTGTTACTGCAAAATTTCAATTTGAATATCTAGTATTTTAGAAAAGAAAGTTAATACTTTAAACAGTGTTATCATGTGTCAGATCAGTGTAGATAAAATGGATGTTTTTAGTTTACAGTATTAATTCTAAAGTAAATATAAACATTCTTTCTAGCTGTTAATTATTGTTCAGTATTTCGGTAACCTGTTGTCTGTCATAACTGAACTGCATTGTTGTAAGTTTTGTTGATGTTCGAAAGTGATGTATATTTGTTATTTTGTAGGACTTGTACAGATGAGGATAAGCTCAATTTATTTCTGTAATCCATATGAGTTTTGTGTAGTTTTTGTGTTATATAATCTCAAATGTTGTTTTTATTTTATATAATCTGATATGTTGTTTTTACGTTATATAATCTGATATGTTGTTTTTACGTTATATAATCTGATATGTTGTTTTTACGTTATATAATCTGAAATGTTGTTTTTACGTTATATAATCTGAAATGTTGTTTTTACGTTATATAATCTGAAATGTTGTTTTTACGTTATATAATCTGAAATGTTGTTTTTACGTTAAATAATCTGAAATGTTGTTTTTACGTTAAATAATCTGATATGTTGTCTTTACGTTGTATAATCTGATATGTCGTATTTACGTTATATAATCTGATATGTCCTTTTTACGTTAAATAATCTGATGTCGTTTTTTACGTTATATAATCTGATATGTCGTCTTTACGCTATATAATCTGATATGTTGTTTTTACGTTAAATAATCTGATATGTTGTTTTTACGTTAAATAATCTGATATGTTGTTTTTACGTTATATAATCTGAAATGTTTTTACGTTATATAATCTGAAATGTTTTTACGTTATATAATCTGAAATGTTGTTTTTACATTATATAATCTGTTATGTCCTTTTTACATTATATAATCTGTTATGTCCTTTTTACATTATATAATCTGTTATGTCGTCTTTACGCTATATAATCTGATATGTTGTTTTTACGTTATATAATCTGATATGTTGTTTTTACGTTATATAATCTGATATGTCGTATTTACGTTATATAATCTGATATGTCGTATTTATGTTATATAATCTGATGTCGTTTTTTACGTTATATAATCTGATGTCGTTTTTTACGTTATATAATCTGATATGTCGTCTTTACGCTATAGAATCTGATATGTCGTCTTTACACTATACGATCTGATATGTCGTTTTTACGTTATACGATCTGATATGTCGTTTTTACGTTATACGATCTGATATGTCGTTTTTACGTTATACGATCTGATATGTCGTTTTTACGTTATACGATCTTGATATGTCGTTTTTTACGTTATACGATCTGATATGTCGTTTTTACGCTATACGATCTGATATGTCGTTTTTTACGTTATACGATCCGATAGGAAAACAAAATGTTGAGTGAGTGTGAAATATGTGGAGCTAACATTTGTGAGTTAGTAGAGTAAATGGCTTGTGTAACCTGTCAGTTTGGATAGAAGTTAATACTAATTATACATGTAATTAAATGTTGACATTTGGAAGCCTTCAAATTGAGTGCATTCAAGAAAATAGCCCGGTGAAATTTCGTTAATAAGGTTACTTCAGTTTGCTTATAAAATAAGAGTCATAATTTCTCCTTCATAAATGATGTTCTTTTCTATTCCTGCTTTAGATGCTGCGAAGATCATGTGGTTTGAAAAACTTCAGGTGTGGATGAGATTTTTGGAAAAGAATCTGATCTATCCTGTAGTTTTTCTTAGTGCCTTAACTACAGATTCACCACGAATTATTGCCAATTTTGGCCTGCCGTAAGTGACATTCTACCTTTTGTTGCATAAATTTTATTATATAGATTAGTAATAGTTATTCTTATCTTTGAAAATATACATGTAGAAGATGTGGCTGTACTGAAACATTTTAATCAATGAATGATCTTCATTATTAAATACAAGAAGTATCAGTTCTTGTTATTAAATTTTACATCCATTGTTGGAGAGTTGTGTAACTTGACCAAGATGAATTAAACTTTTATTAGTCTCTATTTGGGCAGAATATTTTGTGAAGTAATACTTGTATATGAAGTATTTAAGATTCACATCTTATGGTCTTATTCAAATGTACGTTAAAATCTGGGGTTCGATTCCTTGTGGTGGACACAGCAGATAGCCCAATCTAACTTTGCTCTAAGAAACAAACAAATATTCTAATGAATATTTTTGATGATATGCTTAATTTGAAATTAGTACCAACATCTCCATAACAGTAGCAAAACTATTAGCTAATTGACAAGTTTTGGAATTTTTCTCCCGGTTTTTTTTACTTATTTTTTGTGCTAAATACCAAAAGTTGTTGTTTTTAAAATTATGCTTATGAAATTGTGAAAGGTTTACTGTTCTGTTATATGCATCATTGTTACAAGCGCAAATACACATCAAACCTGTCAGTTTCCAGTGTAAGCTGAGGTCATGTTTAATTTGTAGAGACATAGTAGTGGTGTTCTATGCTTTGGGGCCCCCTGGTGGCTAGGTAGTAAGTGTGAAGCCTTGTAATGCTGAAAATCTGGTTTTGATACACATGGTGGCCAGAAGACAGATAGTTCATTGTGTAGCTTTGTGCTTAACAATGAAACAAACAAACAAACTATGCTTTTGGAGAAAAGATTTTTAAAGATAATATAGATAAGTGACAGATCTTTAACTACTTTAGTATACTTGATGATAAAGTAGTCTTACAAGTACACCTCATTAATTATGCTTTTACCTTCAATATAATGAATGAATTGCATGTTGAACTAACTTTTTAAACTTGTAATGAATGTGGTATTATAAATAAAATATAATTCTCGAACGTTTGCTCCAAACAGACGAAAGTCTACACTAATGAAATAGTGTCTGGTAAACGGTCTAGCACTGCATTTGAAAACTTGAACCAAACAAACTCTTAAACAAATATATGACAAATGTATTGAACCATTTACTTTCCTATTGTCTTGTGCTTTTAGATAATGCTAGTCTTGTATCCCATTTATAGGCACGAATATTTTCATTCCTTTTAAGAGAGTTTGCTCCATTTTTATTTTGACTTGTTAAGCGTACTAAATGGATGTTTTGGGAGATTATTTTTATGCTGCATGATTGTTGAAGCATAGGATATTTTTATCACAAGTGGTCCTGTTTTTGTAACTTAATCAAAACTGATAGCTGCCTGAATTAAATGTTAACTATGGCAGCATGTGGTATTTTGTATTTTTTTAACCACCAGCTCTAAAATTTCTGACTAGACATATTTTTCTGACTATGATGTTAAATGGTCAAATACTACACTAGTATCATTGAGCAGGATGTGAGAATTGCTCACCAAATGCACTGTTATCAATTGGTTTTGTGAAAATAAGTGTCTTATAGGACAGCATGGCTCAAATTTCTGGGCCTCTGGAATATCTCGAGCACTGTAATAAAGTAGTGTAGAACTGTTTCACTGAAGTCGGTTGATGTACTTCCCATTGAGTATATAGAAGCTTGTTTGTTAGGAATTTCGGGCAAAGCTACACAAGGGTTACCTGCACTAGCCGTCCCTAATTTAGCAGTGAAAAACTAGCGGAAAGGCAGCTAGTCATCACCACCCACCGCCAATTCTTGGGCTAATCTTTTACCAAGGAATAGTGGGATTGACCATCACATTATAATGCCCCCAGGGCTGAAAGGGCGAGCATGTTTGGTGGGATGGAGAATCGAACCCGCGACTCGCAGATTGTGAGCCGAGCACCCTAACCACCTGGTCATGCCGGGCCTTATACAGAAGCAATTTTAGTTTTCAAAAATTTGTTTAAATATTATGATAATGTATTTGTAACTTTATTCTGGATTAACATTTCTTAGATTTTATTTAAAATGATTACAGCTGTTTGAACGATAGCCAAATGTGACAATTTTAACAGAAAATAATATTGGGGATTGTTACAGAACAATAATGAAAGTTCAAAGTTTTACCTGAAACTTTGTATAGACTTTAATTATTGTACATTTAATTTTCTAGGTTATTGATATATTACATTAAGTATTGAAATCAGATTATTACAATATTGCCATCATCAATTTATAAGCGACTTTTAGTTTTGAGCTACATGGTTAATTTGCTTATGATCAAAGTTTCATAATATCAGCATTAAAAGGAGGATTCCAAAAAGCAAATAAAAAAAAAACTAATAAGGAAATATGAGGTATTTTTTGATTTAATTAGAATTATTTCTTAAAATTCTGAAATGAAGGAATAATTAAAAAACATTTTATGATAAAAACAGGAACTAAAAAAGGATAAAAAATGCAATATAAAGAAAAGTGAGAATTTGAATTTTAGAGACTTTTTAAAAATATGAAATAGATCAGAAATTCTAGTTTATAATGATGAATTTTGGGATGTTTCTTATCTTTCATTCTTTCAGTAGACTTGTTTTTATGGCACAGTGTTGAAGAAGTAGTATTAACTCTATCACCACTGGTATACTTTACTGCGCATGACACAAGGTTTTAGTGTTTTTAGTTCAAAATTTTATTCAATTACTTGTTTGAATTATACCAACTTGTATTGCATAAAATCTTAGCTAATAATCCATATTGTAATAGCATATGAATTTTAATTTCTTAATAATACAAGGCAATATTTAAAAAAATCCTGAATTTCCCCTAGTGTGACACATGTGACACATTTTTTCTAGGCATCTTCTTTTCTCTACTTTATCCACCACCACTCCAAAAAAGTACAAAATTAAACGTAAATTACTCACTATAAAATCGTTATTCCTCAGACAAACCATAATTTATATAGTCATAAATTTTTGTTTGGTTACAGAGCTATCAAATAAACAATCAAACCATTCCTGCCACACCCACCTGTCACATCTTCTCTTTCAGGATTTGTTAATAGTTCTCTCTTACGTTTGATTATGAATTATGAATTTGTAATGGTTCTTGTCACACAGTTAGAAAGCCAGAAACATTTTGAGAGTAATGGGAACTTGTCTACTTTTTGCATGTTATTAGTCTATGTTCTTTGGTGCATTATTTAATTAAACAGAAATTATTTAGTGCATTACTACTATTAGTATAAAAAAAAAAGTAGGGTTAAGTGTCATCAACAATCGACAGCAAGAAAAAAGAAGATTGGGTTAGTACTTTATTTCTTGTTTTTCGTGTTTATTCTTTATTTATTATCATAAAAGTAACTAAAATGTAAAAATAGGGATATTTTTAGGTTAGTTAAGATTAGATTATGTAAAATAAATAATAATATAATAAAAATGTTTCATGAGGCATGCATACATGTGAGCAGCTCATAGTAGCTTGTGGGTAATGTAATTCAATAGCATAATGTGAGCTGCACTTTCCCCGAGTTATTTACAATTAATAATGGTGTGAACAGTAGTTAGAAATGATTCAAAGGGCAATAAAACAATAAAATTAAATTATAAATAGATGTATACTGTTACGAGTTTAAAGCTATTTAGGATAAACAGATGTAGTTTCACGCTACATTTGAAGTCATTCTCGAAAGAAAAAAAGAGGGTAATTTAGATTTATTTTGAGTTTTTTTGGGGGGGTTATGAGGTCAGTCAAATTGACCAACCTTCTATAGAGCTAGGGTAGAGAAAATATCAGATAAAATATAAAGTTTTACTGAAAACAAACGTTT